TAAGCGGGCACCCATCCAAGTACTAACCCAACTGAGCGTTGCTTAGCTTGGGTGATCGCTGGAGTCACACACCGCCCGCGTGGCTACTGTCGCCGCTGCAATTAAAGTATATTTTCACGGAAGAACTTGAAAATCCTCATGCGATGCTTTTGGAATAAATTCGTATGCCCACGGTTTATTCCCTCGTCTCTACATTTTCTCCCCAGTAAACAGAAGCCGTGGTTTCCCCTCGAGGCCTTCAACTCCACATATTCACATGCACCAGCTAAAATTCTAAAGTCAATGCCAGACCGTACCTATCAGAATTATTTCCCCGGAGAAATAGATGAAGAAATAAACACTTTCCATGGAGCATATTGATGAATATGACACAAAGACTTTACAAACTCCTATGCACCTAATAATAAACAGGTCGGCAGTATTGTTGAAAATGGGTCGAGCAATTCTCACTCATTCCATACAAAACACACACCACTGACTTCCGCAAATGGATATTCCAGGCTGGCAGCAAAGTTGACATCACCCGTTGCATAATTCTGATGCGATGAGAAAGCGCAATACCAGCAGAGATGGAACAAACCTGCAGAATTGCAAAATGGGAACGATTCCATGGAACACGTGACATAACCACTTTGTTGAATAGTTTGTGAGGCCAGATAGTGAACAAGAGCATCCACTTTTACCCCTTTATGTGCACCTAAAATGGTAACGCTGAATCTGGGGTAGATGTGTCTTCACTATTAAATTGATCCGATAAAGCGATATGGGTTGCAGGTTCATTGCACCCGTGCTCCACAAATTTTGCACTTTAACAGCCACTTTGATCATTTTAATTTGTCAGTACTTGATCATATGGAAGGCGTGGTAGGCACTCATGGCTTGTGTCATTCATTTCGGATGAACGAGTAAATGGAGGGTCTTGGTGACGTGAAGAGACCGAGTCCTCGAAATTCTGGATAATTCAATGGGGCTTTTGATAAATGATGAGGATCGCGTCGTAACATCTGATTGCTGGTACCACTGGAGGATTCTAGGACTACTCACAACGAATTGAAAAAGGGAAACAGTCGCTCGCTGACGGGAAACCCATCACAACCAAGAAAAATGTGAAAACGAAGAAAATATGTGCACCAGCCGGTGAGGGTTTAATGAACTATCTGAAATATTCAAATATTCATAGAAAACTGAGACTCAGGCAAAATGACTTATCACCTCTCGGCTCCCGATATATTTTGCCGTGTGGGTTTGGAAGTGTCTTAAAATACTCCCCTTTGATTATTCGAACTAGTTTTGAAAACTCGAATGCGCAAGGATGACGAGTGTCTGGTGAATAAGATAACTCTCCTGTTAAGTGATGAGCACGTGGGTTCCCAGTGTACATGTGCAAATTGCGATAGCATCTATAAACGCCTACGGGTCTGTACAGTCATCCAGAGGACATCCCTTGGTACCCGGTGTGAGTTCACGTTTTAATGACGCAAACTCTCAGGTATTTTCGGTCTTTTATTTCTGGTGTGACGTATCACTCGATGATTATTTTAAACAGGCCATTAAAAAACTTGTACACGATTTAGTGCTGGATGACACTCTCGGTGATGATTCAAGTTACTCCCCGGGGCTATCACCTCCATTACTTGCCACTCAGTCGCTTCTCTTTGACAGGACTCATTACTAATTGCACATGAGTGTCGATAACTGGCTCATTTGAAGTGGGTGTCTACAAGTTCATCTTGCTCCATCAATTAACATGTGACTGGGACAAAGAGGTCAATCAAGTGCATTGCCATTAATTACCGGTAGCAGGATTACAGAATTGTCGCGTTACTGCACTATTATTACTGGAAAATTTCATATTTTCCAATGAAACTGTGGATTACGAGGGTAGATCTCCGCTTTAAAGCGATGAAATTGGAAATTCATTTCAGTCTCGACGAATATTCGTTTGATGTGAAGATGAGGACGGAATAGTTATTTACACGGAATAGCTGTATTTACGGGTTGACAGACTCGTATGAATGATTCAGCAGAATTGCTGTCTGTTTATAGTTTCGGTTATTCCATACGCAATTCTAAAGCTAGAATACAGGGGATTATCTGCAATCCATCGTGTTTGCTAGAGGTAAATAAAAAATCAGATGAAATTTGGGGCGAAGAAATGGGTATTCGAGTTTTAAAAAGCGGTAGTTGAGAAAACAAACTTTAAATGTAAGAACGTGTCTCAGAAGAAAATAATATGATATAAAGACGTCAATTAGAAAGCTTTTGTCCCCTCTTTTAAAACCTTTTTGAACAAACGTCGTAAAACGGGGACAAAGTGTCTTAATTCAAGACATAATTTTTATCAGCGAAACTTTTTATGTAACTTCACTTTATGAGAGGTATCCTTATCCGAAAATGGCAGTGTCTCTTCTAGCACCTTCCGAATTCAAAAAGTACTTTCTGATTTTATTTTTCTGCTTTTGGATAATATTGAAACAGCAGTACATTAATCATGATATTCATGGGGACATTAAAGTGTCCGTGTGAATAAGTGATGATATTCGAGGTACATTCTGGCCGACCGATACCCACTTTGGGAAAAAAGCAATATAGACTGAATCGCGTTATAAGGAGAGGTATATTTCTCCATAGGAGGACCCTGAGGACCTCCAGGCGGAAATGAAACTGTAAGAGTGTTGAAAAATTCAAGAAATCCCCATGACCCCTGGATGCAAGTGTGTGGGTTGAAAAAAAAAGCATATACTCCATCTTTAACGCAACAACATATTTATTTATTTATTTATCCTCGTAAACAAGTACATACACCATTTACCAGGTGCATATGCTATTTAACAGGTAGCACTCTGGAGAGTCAAGTGAAAAATATTCCTCTTGTGTGATATCTCAATCCATTGGAGGCTATATCGAATGGGAATTTAATAGTTAATCAATTAATCTATTTCTCGAGACGGAGGGAAGATGAAAAATTGAGGTGGAAATATTGAAACGGTTTGCATAATGGGAAATACATTATTCAGTGAATGGTACGGGTATGAAGATAAAATTCCCTCGGCTCTCCTGAGTTCGAGGGTTGAGTCGAAATCTAAAGCCCAGACACGCAGATTCAAGAATTGCCGGATGTGTGTTGCTTTTTGGTCTTGAATTGTCTTCAATTTATCAGGGAATGAGGGGTTTAGGATGAGGGGAAAATTTGAAGCTGAGGAAGACTGTGACTTGGAATTGAATTATCTCAGTTTCGTAGTTGATTCCGATAAGCTGCACGATCGTTTTAATGGATGGCTCTTCTTTCTGAAGGGGCTAGAAAGCCTCTGGGTTAAAAAGTTGCCAGTGCTTTGCCAATTTTTTCCAACTTTTTCATTTCATTTTTTAACCCTTGGCTTTTAGTGGAATTTTTTATAGACTAGACTGATGAAGAAGTTAATCTCTTCGAAATTGAGGTTCCGGGGTACCTGTTATCGGCCTCACTCCACTTGGATTATTCTGGAATGGAGATTTTTCGTGCTCGGGGGTAAAACCGATTTTTTTTTTGCTGCATTATTCTGCTGGAATATTGATGTTGTCTTGCGAGGTCTGAAAAACTGAGGAATTTAAGTCATTCCTTCCTATATTTACCCAATTTTCCGGATATCTGGGACTTTTCAGGGAATAATTAAAGAAAAAAATGTCAGGGCAACGGAAATAGTTTAATGAGTATTGAACGCCGTGAAAATAATCTGAAATACGATTTATTTCTGCTGGATTCCCTGGCCAATCAGGGGATACTAAAGATTACGTGAGAATAGTGAGATAGAACGGGGAATAATGTAAATTCCTCAGGTCGTAATCAGCCTCGTTTGTCTTAAACTCAGCGGTGAAGTTGGGGTCTCAGAATAATTATCCCCAACGTCGCGTAAATATTAATCACCGAAATTGTGGTACGATGGTGTCCTTGTACTATCGGTGTCTCCATGTTTTACCCTTCATTCGCCTCATCTCATACCCCTGATCCATCCCTCTTTTATAATCTTATGCTCCAACCGGAAGTCCGTCTTGAGTTAATACACCCTTTGCCCTCAGGCTAAATTCACAAATTTCTATCCAACTTTCTACTGGGATAGGAATGATTAAAGTCTACCCGAGACACACTCATTTTGCAGTTTTGCTTCTCGGGGATAACGAGGAAGTAAAGGGGCGTAAAGATTAGCACCAGGGAAAATCAATTAGG